CTCCTCCTCCTCTTCCCCTTCCTCCTCTTTCACCAACCCTCATCCTCCTTCCTAGATTTCATTGGCAGTAACCTGTGGGCAGCAGGCAACTGGCGCCCCTGCTGCTGCCACTGCCACTACTTCCTTCTCTTCCTCTTTTTCCTCCTGCCTCTTCCTCCTCCTCTGCCTCTTCCTCTGCTGCTGGCACTGCCTCAACTCAGGTTTGCTAATCGTGGATGGTTGAATACATAGAGTGGATTGTGCAACTAAGGAAATCTGGAAGAAGCCAGATGGTGACATCAGACATCAGAGCAGGCATTCACAATTGTAAGAATTAGAAGCTCATTTCAAATAATAATGTGAATAAGAAAACAGCCAACTTTAGGGCTAAACAGATGTTACCAAAGGAGTGGCTTGCCACCACCCCTTTGAGCACCATATTGGGGCTGCAGAAACTGTACACCATGTCCCTGATCCTACGATTTGCCAACTCCAAAAGAAATGGCAGAAAGCTGCTCCTTTTGGATCCAGCAAAAAGTTGCCCTTGTCACTGCGTTGGTGGTTTTTCCCCATTTCTTTGGTGCAGCATGTCTAAATGCTGCACCACAGAAGCATCATAATGCTGCCTGCCATCTGACTGGGTGGAGCCACGATGGCTTCATTGGGCTGAAGTCAGGATGGGGAGTGGGTGGTCACCACAACCCCATTCCACTCTAATGCTAGCGTTTCTTGCCAGTCTGTATAGCCTCGTTGAATTCTGCACTCTGAACCAATGCATCCAGAATTATTTACCAGTTTTTATTCTGGTGTCAATGAACAATGGACTTACAGATTTCATGCCACCCTCTGTAGAAAACAGGGCACTGGACTGGATAGGCCTTTGATCAGAACCAGCAGGGTTCTTGTTTTCTTGGGGAACCAGTGGTGTAAGGATTAGACTTTTTAGCTCCATTAAACTTATTGGACAGAATCCTGATAGTGATAGATGCTTGTATACTCTCGGGTTACTCAAACTTAAGTTCCTTGAAGTTCCTTGTGCAAGTAGATATTTAGTACCTCCTTGCACAATGCTTAGTCAATGCAAGGCAGCTTCATCCCCTCACCATACATTGGGCTGGAAAATGATAGAAAAAAGATGTGTTTGTTGAATTTAGCCAATTCAGGTAGTTGAAAATCTCCTTTTAAATTAGACTTTACCAAAATTTGCAAATTTCTCCAGAAATACTCCATTGCACAATGGGAAAATAAGCAGGCATCCCAACAGTTATGGAATTGGGTCCACAATGTTGGTGTTCAACAAAAGGATAGTATAGGTGCTATTTCACTATTATGTGAATGTAAACTTACACTATGGAAATCCAATGTAAGATCTCCATCAGGGTACAGCAAGCATAACCTCCCACAAAAAATGGGTCAGGAGAGAAGTGTTCCTGATCCAGGGGTGCATCTACACTGTAGAAATAAAGCAATTTGACACCACTTTAATGGCCATGCCTCTATCCTACAGAATCCTGGGATTTTTAGTTTGTGAGGAATCAGAATTCTTTATCAGAAAAGACCAAAGACCTTTTAAAACTACAAATCTCTGGGTTCCATAGGATGGAGCTACAGCAATTAAAGTGGTGTCAAACTGTATTATTTCTACCATGCAGATGCAGCCTTATTGGTCTGTCTGGTGACGTTTTGTTGTTTCATAAGCCACTGAAGGTTTATCTATGTTCTTTAAGCACAATGAGCTATTTTGTACTTATGTTTTGCACCCCGTGCTCCTGGAGGGGGACACCTGTCATTGGAGATAACGATTTCTTGGGCAATGTGCTGTTTTGGATCTTCCTCTTTAAAATGTAAGAGATTTGATAAAAGAAAGAAAGAAATTACAGTTGCAGCTTCAGGTGCCTTAAGAATAAAACCAAAGGGAAATAAAATTAATAATCATGAAGTTTTGCTCAATAATGGATGGATGAACCTGGTACACTGTGACTTCAATTCTCAACTTGAACTGATTAAAAAAGACCTTGCCAATTTTGTACATTTCACTTCTTGACAAAATGGAGGTGACAGCTATGTACCTGAAATTCAATTAGAGGAAACAGAGACTTTTATTGTAATAATGTTATTTTCCATTTAAAAAATTACTTTCCAATTACATGAAGCCGAGAACTTTTGTTCTAACAGACTTGGTTAAAATACGTAAGATTCAGTCAAGTTTGACATGTTTAACTCCTGAATCTCAAATGAGGATTCATGGACTAAGAAGATCATGATATAAAGAAACCACAACTGCTACCTTCCAAGACTGCAATCTAATATTATTCCATTCATCAGATGATGACCAGGATGGGAAGCTGTAACAACAGTGAGGTGCACAACTGCACTCCCTGAACACTTTTTTTTAAATGAATAGTTTTTTAAAATGAATAGCTGCCATTTTGGAAGGCCAAATCGCAGCCGCGCTGCGTTTGCACATGTGCAAGAGTACTGCACATGCGCAGACGTGTCTCACCTGCCATTTTGATTTCCAAAATGGCAAGCATGGCGAGCGTGGCCGCAGAGTGGCAAAAACGCGCCGCAATGGTGGCGGGCAGCGGCGGTGGCGGCAACCTTTGGCCTGGGCTGGTAACTCCGGGGACCGGGGCCTTAACCGGCCCCTGGGCTGTAGGTTGCCAGTCCCTGCCCTAAGAGCTACCTGCTACATGTGTGGTGCATAATTCCTGAACCTAATGTTGCAGTAAAGACCTACTTCCAGACAATGTAGACAGCATGAGACTATATGGACCATGGCCAGATAAAAACAAAACAAAAATGATCATGCTTACCCTCTTTGGATGCAATAATCCTTCAAAGTGTGTGCTTACCATGACTGGAAATCTAGTAATGTCTTATTCATGTATAAATTTCCTTAAATGGCTAGAGGCAATGTGGCATAGTGGAGTGTTGGACTAGGATTCTGGAGATCAGGGTTCAAATCCCTTCTCAGCCACAGAAATCCACTGGGTAACTTTGGGCAAGTCAAACCCTCTCAGCCTCATAGGGATGTCATGGTAACCCCCTGCCCCCCCCCCCGCCCCAAATAGATCTTGCCATCAGTGGGAAACAACTGGAAGGTACACAATAACAGCAACACTGGAAATGGCTGGACACTTTTGTTTGATTCTGAATGGTCACATTCAGTCCAAGGTTATATCAATGGAGTTGCACATGTGGTGCCATTACATGTGGGTGTATTTTGTGCATGGATGCACCATCTGCATTGTGCATGGATGTGCATGGACATTTGGTTTTGCCTTCAGTTGCACCTTTGGTTTCTTGGTTCAGTTGTGCAATGTTGTCATTCAACACAACTGTTGCATAGCATCATTTATGCCTAGACCTGGATGCAGGGAACACTACCACCCAAATACAAGACAGGATCTTGGGCTATACGTATCTAGTGCTACATTTAGCGTTGAGGCTCACAAGTGGTGAAAAGAGGATTAAACGAGACACTGAAAATTAAAGAGAATGCTCAGTGTTATTCTTTCACCCCTTAAATTCGAAGGAAAGAAAAAGAACAACAAATCCTTTTCATCTCAGTAGAACAACACTTTGCTCATTGCTGCACCATGAAGCTTTGTTTTCAAGTGAAGGGAAGTATTGTTGCTGTCAGTTGCAGCTTTTGACACTCCACAAATCCAGTCTTTCATAAGGACTGTACACCTCTCCAGTGTGTCAGAAATACTGCCGGATTTTTCTTTGAGGCTTTAATTGCATCCTCGTTTGTTGAGAAGAACGGGTGTTTCCACTGTGTGTAATGAAAGAAGAAAATGGCTTCGATGTGTGATTTGTATCAGTGTCTTCTTCAGCAAAGATTTATATCTGAATATGACATGTGAAAGGCTGAGTGGGTCACACCTGGATCTCTGGGGAGTGTGGGTAATTCAATGTGTTGCCTGGGATAAAGCAGATAGTTTATTAAAAAGGAAGCTTTTATTTACAGTGTGCCAAAGCCAGTCTGAAGTCATGGATAGCAATATCTGGGCTGGCAGCATGGATAGATATTTTCAGGCAAGGGAGGGTCTCTGTAATCTGTTGACCCAGCAGGATCTAGAGCAGTGGTAGAAAATTCTGGAAGGCTGGGGGCCAGTTTCTTACTCTGAGGACCCACTGTGTGTATGTGTACTTTCAAGTCACCTGTTGAATAATGATGGTGCCTTGAATTTCATAGGGTTTTAGCCACTGTCTTCCTCCAAAATATAGCCCACAACACCTGAGATTCCTTGATGATGGCATACATGAAAACCATGATGTGCGGTCAAGTAATAGGTGGTGAGGATGAAAAAAATTATTAATGAGGAAGAATGCTCAAGCTGGGAGAGGCTGCAACATTTTGCTTTTGCCTGAGTCTACAGGAAAGGGCAAGATTCTGCCCCTCACTTCCTCTCCTCTTTACTGAGTTGGAGTAGTTTGCAGTTTGCACTCTGTTTGCACCAACTGATGTTAGCTGAGGGCAAAGGGAAAAGTGGGAAGAGGGGAGAGACACTGGTACATTCTAAAATAAGCTGGAAAAGTTGATGGGAAATAATTAATTAGAATTGTTCCTGCCAAATTGGGATGGTTGTGTGTGTGTGGTAAGGATTTGGTGCAATGTGTTAATTTTTCAACAGTCTCATTGTGAAATGGAGGTGCATTTAGTTTAAATAGAGGATTGCGAACCCTGGAGGCTTTCAGGAGTAGCAATTTAGTGGCTTGTACAAACATCTGGGGGCACAAGCAATTCTGGAGAACCTCATGGGTTGTCCAGGAGAATGTTTTTTTTTCCTTCCTGAGGGTGGCTTCAAGAGCAGCGATAGGAGCTATACAGATGGCCTCTAAGGGGTGGCTCTGTGATGCTTCTGGAAGTGCTGGATTAGGGCCACAGCAACTGCACACTACATTCCTGATCCAGCACTTTGCTGCTCCAAAAAGAGTTGGTAAATGCCACTCCTTTTTGGAATGGCAAAAAGCTGCCCTTGCCACCGTGGCGGTGGCTTGTCTGTTCTCCTTTGATGTTGTGCACTGTGCAGTGGGGCACATAGCATGATGGCGGCATCAGGGCATAGTCGGGACAGATGGCCTGCAGTCGCCACACCCCAACTCCACCCCCAGGCAGGCCCTTTTGGCTGGTCTGTATAGCCCCATGTTGACTGTCTGACTACCCCTTATCTCACATGATTCTTATGTCCTTATCTATTGGTTTATACTGGACTGGGGAGTTACAATCTAGAAAGGATAAAGTACTGCTCTGTAGAGCCATCCTGCCCATTTAATCCAAGATCCTAGCTGTAGTTCCAGAAACTAGTAACCCTCTGCTGGAAAAAAAAAATGCACCAGCAGAGCACATTTTGCCATCTATAACACTGCCCTGGAAATAAAACCCATTAGAAAAAGAGTAAGAATTGTGTGGTCCTCCAGATGTTGTTGAACTGCAACTAATACCTTCTTTCTTCATTGGCTATGCTAGCTAGGGCTTCTAGGATATGCAGTTTAAGAGCATTTGAAGGGTCACATGATTCTATCACTGTGCTCAAATCTGCCTGTCTGGCCTGTGAGAAGCCAACATGTCTTCATTGGCCAACAGCCAATGAGGTCAAAGGCTGTACATTCTAAGGCCATTTTACCCCTAATCAGGGGTGGGCATCCTACAGCCCACCAGGTATTGTTGGACTGCATCTGACAGTATTCTTTATCACAGGTTGTGATGTCTAGAGCTGCTGGGAACTACAGTCCAACAACATCTGGAGGGTTGCATGATACCAACCCTGCCCAAAATGGAAGGAAAACAGGTCAAAGCAGTGAAATCCAAAGCTGAAAACCTTCACTCGAGGTCTCAGAATCAAAGCTGTACAGTTCCAGCTTCACAGCCTGAATTGCCTGGATGCGGTGGAACTTCGTGCGAGTAACTAATGAGAGAGCTTATAATGCTCAGCACAGCCTCAAACCCATTTCTAAAAGGCTTTGCCATCCAAAGGCTCTTTTTGTTCAGAGTAATAAAAGTCCAAACTACCTTAAAATTGATAATCTGGAACGGAAATAATCCCCTTGTGTGCAACTTGTTCTCCATTTGCATTCTTATATTCTCCTATTCATCTCATATTCATCCACTTTAATGAGCTTAATTAACTACGCCTAATCCTACATCAAACACATACACATTCACCATCTAAGCAGGGCAAGAAAATCTTTTTATGTCATTCCAAAACAGCACTTTGGTCCCCATTCCCCAAGTGGTATGGAGTTCAGGGTAGCTTCAGCATTCTTTAGAAGACTAGATGTGCATACAGATTAAAAGGCTTTTTGCTGCAAAGCGGCTTCATTATACATTTTGAAAGACCATCCTTTCCTTCTTGCTACTTACTTATCTGTTTACTTTCACTTACCTCTTCCTCCATGGCACTCACAGTCTTCCATATTGCTCAGGGGTGGGCACAATGTGCCTCTGTGGCCACCTGCAGCCCTCACCCCCTCCAAACTGCTCAGACTACCCATGGGGGTGCAGTGTTGGTTAGCAAAAAAATGGTTTTATTTTTCTTCTTCTGAATTTTTTCAGGAGTAACAATGCACCTTCCTAGTAGACCACCCTGTACAGCCAGTACCAATTTTTCAAAGCTAGAAGTGTGATGGCATCTCATCAGAAGTTCAATTTATGCAATCATAACTCACTTTTTTGATTGTTGTAGAGGTTAGTATTCTTTCCTAACTGTGCAACCACTAAATGCCCCTGTTATGGATCTCCCTCCTGCTTCAGGCTGAGTTGGGTGGGAGCTCCAGAGGCCATCTATCTTAGCTGCCACCAACCATTGATTTGAACCCCTTTGCCCAGATTGCTAGGGCACCACTTGTATTGTGTTTCTCACCTCTGATGCTGAAAAGACCTTTCTCTTTTCTCCCTCCAACCCTAGTGAGGGAGATAAGATGCAGCAAAAGCAAATCAAAGAAGGGTGGAAAAAGAGAAGTACTTTTAAAAGAAAAACTTTATTCTAAGGAAAGCAACTACATTAGCAAAAAAAAAAAAAAAAGGCATGAAGGGGCATTTTCATGAATGGGTATCTTACCTTCAGGCATATTTTGAAAGGTTAAAATCATAAAATAATCTAGACCAATTCAGCCAAGGGCATCAAAATTAACATAAAATCTCTGATGTGACTAAACTAAGGGCCTCTGTTCCCTATCCACTCATGGTCCAATGGGAATACTGGGCATGGATGTTCCTGGGGAGGGCAGGTATGATTTTAGGCCACATGGTCTCATCTGACCAGCTCTCCAGGGTTCAGCAGGCATTTTGCCCAGAGTCTCTCTTTGTTCTCCCCCTGTGTTCTGCCTTTAAGTATTTATAACTTGCTTTGGAAGGTCTGGAAATTTATCCCATGTCATCCCACTGGGCAATTGTCTCTCATGACCTGTGACTCCTTGTGAAACTGACCCCCAATAAATGTAACTATAAATCCATCACTAACACCTTGTGTATCTGATAATGGAGTGTCCATTATCACAGACTCCCAGCACACCTTTCTCCCACACAGCCATATGCATGTTGTTGGAGGGTAGGAGATCAGTGGAGATGCATCCAGCTATTTTCCTATCTTTGGAGGCACTGCAAAGAAATAGTTGAAGATTATGGTCAGAGAAAGAAGACTTGGAATCAGGAGGATGCATTGTGTATAGATTTTCCAGCCTCTTTCACAGCCTACAGAGGGATATTACTTCCTGGCATCCTGAAACGTCAGAAAGGGGCATTCTCTTTTGCATTCATTTCAATTATGTGTGTCACATCTGAAGGGAACTGTGTCATCCTCTAATTAAATAATCTCAAAATAAATTCTTCTTCGGCCTTAATATGCCATCCATAAGAGCTGTCAAATTGCCTCTGACCTTCTCCTCCAGGCTAAACATATTATACTTCTTTATCCTCCCTCCCCCCATACACATATCTTCTAGACTTTTCTCTTCTTTCACCGCTCATCT